TTTGCTATTCTAGGTGGCTGGAGGGGAATCCTGATCCGTTCACAAAAGTACCTGTCCACCCTGGGTCCTTTTGCCCTTATATCCATTCCCCCAGTTATTTTACTTTATTTAGTTGTCTTGTTTAATGTAAATTATTTGAATGAAGTATGTAAAAGTTTGTTGTGAATTAACCACATTAGCCAAAACGTGGGAGGTAGTAGGATTTTTTTCTGGATTGGCTATTTATTTGCATCCATTGCTACTAAATATATTTTCACATTGCATACAGATGCAGAATATTCATTTTCAGCCTGTCATATTATTTAAGGGCCTTTTATACATGTAGCTTACTATGTGGTATTGGTTCTGCTCATTGTTGAAGGCCTTCAGAGACCTATACTCATTAACCTTTCATCATTTGGTATCTGGTGGAGAGTTGTCTCGTTGGCAATCATACCCCAACTTCTTATTTTTATATTGGAACTGTAATCAAGTCTCGCTGTATTGAAGACCCATTGGTGGCCTGCGGTTGTTTTCTGCTCTTTGGTCGCTCTTTGGTCGGGTTGTTATCTCTTTGACACATTCCCCATTTCCATTCTTAATTTTATGCTATTACGCAATACTGTGCAATTGAAGATTTCTTGATATTGCGCAATACTATGCGATTGAAGATTTCTTGCCATAGCGCAATACTGTGCAATTGAAGATTTCTTGCTATTGCGCAATACTATGCAATTGAAGATTTCTTGCTATTGAGCAATTCTGTGCTACTGCACAATACTTAGTTTTAAAATATCAAAATTCCAAATTTTTTAAAAGTTTTGAAATTTGAAATTTTCACCAAATAATTTAATTTTTAAAATTCTAAATATCGTTTTTAAATTTGATAGTTTAGATATTTGATCAAACTTTAAAAGTACTAAACTTAACGTGCAGTTTTGATAATTTCGCTTTTTGAAAGTTTGATTTTTTAAATTTTTGATTAGCATATCAAAAATAGAAAAGCGGCCAAAAAAAGAGGGGCACTTGTAAACACGGCTATGATTATGACCATTATTAGTTAGGAATAAAAAGCACGAAGTATATCAAATCAGTTTTAATTACAAACTAAATAATTAAAAGAAGAATTCGGATTTTTATAAATCATATTAGACATCACAGTATCCTGAAATTTTTAATGTTGTGATAGTATTATTCGACTTTTGAGCGTTCCTGATGAAGGTAGATCCAGAAAAAGCGCTTCGGTCGCATGCAATTTTTAACGTTTTGTTTTCATTTTTTTTTTCGATTGCATGACGATAATATATTGCCTTTTATGATTGATTTCAGATCCAATAGATATAAGAAGATGATATATGAGTGCCAATGAGACAACTCTCCATCCAAGTCACAATTTATAAAAGTAAACCATTATAGGTCAAAGTTACAATGGTCTTCAACATGGAGCCTTGGCTCACACCGAACAGCAAGCTATAAAGGGCCCATAAAATTACTAGTGTTAAACCATTCAAACGGGAAAAACAGCTGTCTAATCTATATAAAAAACGAGAAACGAGAAACAATAGTGTAACATCACAACATAGAAATACACAAGTATTGATACAGAAGGAATACTGAATTTATGGTGTCGCAATGAACGTTGTGATAGGTGTGCTTCAGCTAGCCCCTAGACAAAAATGGTACTAGTTCAGTCAAAATGGACGTCATACTAAACTCCGAAATATAACAATGAACTTAAATTAAAATCATATAAGACTAAAAAGGCCAGAGGCCCATGAATTGGGACAGGCGCACAAATGGGGGGGGGGGGGGGGGGGGGGGGGGGGGGGGGGGGGGGGTTAAACATGTTTTGTAAGATCTCAACCCTCCCCTATAACTCTGGCCAATGTAGAAAAAACAAACACACAGCAATACGCACAGTAAAACGCACTTAACAAGAAGTCCAAGTCCTACGTCAGAATAGGAAACAAAAGAAATTAATCAAAACAACAATGATATATAAATTAACAAAGGACTACTAGCAGTTACTGACATGCCAGCTCCAGACCTCAATTAAACTAATTGAAAGATTATATCTTCATCATATGAATATCAAGCACAATCCCTTCCTGTTGTATTTATTGCTAATTTGTTATCGTCCTGAACATGCATGTAATATATGCCACTGGCAACCAACGATCGATCATTTAAAATTGTTCGTTTACATATAAATTACAAAGAATCTTAGGTTTCAACTGCCTCGGGCAACGTAGCCCTTAGATGGATTTTGATATGGCCAAACACCTTTTCAATTGTTTCGGTTCTTATATTACTTGACTTTCAAATATTCAGTTTTCAGCGTTCTGTAGGTGAATGCTTTAATCAAAATTCAGCGTTTTACATTGTCCTGGTTTTTCGAGAGCAACATTGGTGAATGGCCAAAAATTAAAAATTCATCATGCAGACAGCGAATTTGAGATAACACAACGTGTATTGGGCCATTTTATTGCTTAAAGTTCAATAGAAGATATATATACATACTCAACCTAACCATACTATTTGACCTACTGCGAGTTGGTCAGTTTTCACTGTAAAAAAGTGTTACTCCTAAATGATGGGCGCTTGGTAAACCACAAAGTTCTGAATTATTTATCTGAAACGCTATAAAGCTTATGTTAGAGATTTTCAAAACATAAATCAACTTGTTTGATGCCAGTTTAAATAGGTTTACATTTTTTTTTTCAATAGATGCAAAACCTTAAAATTTTCAGGATACTGTTATCTCATGTGATGTCCAATTTGTTTAAAAAAAGAACTTCTTTAGATTATTTATTTTGCACTTAAAAATGATTTGCTATACCGGTATTTCGTGCTTTCTTTTCTAAGGTAAGAATCATCATAATCAGAGCCGTGCGTCTTGTTTTAAAATGAATTCTCTTCTTTTGAGAAATATTTATTTTGTTATCCAATTTTTAACCGCTTTCAACTGTCTGCCTCTGGTTTTATTTTAAATATTAACTTTTAAGTAACTGCAGTAACTTTTCACTCCATTTTGTTTCGCTTCGTTCAGCTTTTATTTCGTTTCGCAGTTTACAGGTATACTTTGTGCTTTTTATTCCTAACTAAGAATTTCAAAAATCTAAAATTTTAAAACTTTTTAAAACTTTGAATTGATAAGTGTTACACGGACCATCCTGTTTGGTGTGTATCTCCTGCCATATCAGTATTTTTTGCGTTTATATATAAATCAGAAATGAAGAAAAAAAAATATGAAAAAAAAATCCTCCCCCAAATTTTGTTTAACCCCCCTTGGAATAATTACCCCCAAACTCAATCCCAGCCTTTCCTTTGTGGTATGGTACCTTGCAGTACAATTTCAGAGAGATCCATACACTTAAACACAAGTTATTGTCTGGAAACTAGAAAAATGCTTGTTTTTTTGCCCCTTTTTGGCCTCCAATTCCTGAACATTTGGAGCAATTACCCCCAAACTCAATCCCAGTCTTTCCTTTGTGATATGAAACGTAGTGGTACAATTTCAGAGAGATCCATAGACTTACACATTATTGTCCGGAAACTACAAAAAATCGTAAGGGTTCCGCGGAACCCAGTGTCTCGCCTACTTTTTCTGTTAATTGCAGGCTCAACAAAAATGAGTAAGTAAATCAATAAATATCTTTTGATTGTAAGAAGCTTCTGTCCAAGTTTGGTAAAAATCCAGGATAGTTTATGAATCTAATAAATGTTTAAAAACTTTTAACTGCAGACTGAATGTAATGTTAACTGGAAGAAAACAAAATTTCCTTCTAGATACTAGCATTTGATCATAAACAAGCTTCTGTCCAAGTTTGGTACAAATCCAAAATAGTATAAGAAAGTTATTAAAATTTTAAAAACTTTAACCACAGAGTGAATGTGTTGTTTCCTGGCAGAAAATCTAAGTCCATTTAAAAGTAAAATACTGAAAAATGGATTTATTTTTTTACAAAATTTCCTTCTAGATACTAGATTTGATCATAAACAAGCTTCTGTCCAAGTTTGGTACAAATCCAAAATAGAACAAGAAAGTTATTAAAATTTTAAAAACTTTAACCACAGAGTGAATGTGTTGTTTCCTGGCCGAAAATCTAAGTCCATTTAAAAGTAAAATAAGGAAAAAATGGATTTTTTTTTTAACAAAATTTACTTCTGGATATATCTTATGATCATACACAAGCTTCTGTCCAATTTGGTAGAAACCCAGGATAGTTTAAGAAAGTTATTAAAATTTTAAAAACTTTAACCAGAGTGAATGTAATATTTCCCGGCAGAAAAACTAAGTCCATTTATAAGTAAAATACGGAAAAAATGGAATTTTATTTTTACCAAATTTACTTCTGGATACTATCTTATGATCATAAACAAGCTTCTGTCCAAGTTTGGTAGAAATCCAGGATAGTTTTAAGAAAGTTATTAAAATTTCAAAAACTTTAACCACAGAGTGAATATTTGTGGACGCCGCCGCCGACGACGACGCCGACGGAATGTAGGATCGCTATGTCTCGCTTTTTCGACTAAAGTCGAAGGCTCGACAAAAATGCTCGTTTTTGGCCCCTAATTCCTAAACTGTTGGTACCATAACCCCCAAAATCAATCCTAACCTTCCTTTTGTGGTATTGAACCTTCTGGTAAAATTTCATAAAGATTCATTTACTTAAACTAAAGTTATTATCTGGAAACCAAATGTGTCTTCGGACGAGGCAGACGACATCATAGCATTATACGACGCAAAAAAAAAATTTGCTGTCGTATAAAAATCAATGAAATATTTTAAAGGATATAATGTAGCTAGCCATATGAAATATTTTTTGTATGTTGTGCACCTCTTTTCTCCTTTCAATGGCAGGGGCTATGTTGTATGGTTGGCTGTATCATAACTTGTGATAGGATATGGTTATGCAGTGTTGAATGCCGGTCCCGATTGCACCCTCAAACTGATAGGGATAAAATAATTAAATGCTTTCACTCAATCTCAACAACAGGGCAAAAGTGAAGGAAATCAATTTAAGCATACTAGATTTTATTTAAGTATGTGATATGTGATAAATACTCAAAAGTGAGCTTATTTGATCAAATCTAGCCTTGTGATACAATTTCTTGAACAAGTATCAAGGCAAAGTTGAGTTCAACAACATTTGGGTACATGTAAATATCTAATTTTCCATGAAAAAAGTCCAATAATTCTGGAATGGCAAAACTTGAATTTGCCAAAAGCAAAAGGGAGCTTTCTTTAAATTACACTTATGCAAAATAAAAGGGAAACACTTGAGGCCAGAGGGAAGATATATTCGGTTTTTAAAAGTATAAAATATAACATACGGAATCTTGTTAATTATATAACAGTGATATTGCTTTGAGAAAAAAATTCATGAAAACAACTGAGTCAATAATCTGAATTTAAAAAAAAAAATATTGCAACATTTCACATATGCACAACATGCTCTTTTTACAACAATTTGGAGCCCATAGTCTGCTAAAGTTTCATTTATTAAATTTTGCATTAATTCAACAAAAATGTCTGCTAATAATCACTTAAACCACCTCAGGGTTATCTGGTGGGGTTACCATTCTGTACGTGAATATATCTCTCTTAACAAATTTCATATAAATTGCCGATTCCAGGTATTAAAATTTTTATCCTCCAGTAAAATTATTCTTCTGATGTGTTGTGTACTGAAATTTAAAAAAATATTTTGTTAATTAAATTAAGTTTGTTAATTCCATCAAAAAGTAATGAAGAATGATAATTATAATATATTGTATTTCATTGTTATGGCCATCTATGACCCCAATATGGTCTGCTCAAGTCATTCTCTTATCTGAAAAAATTATTGTCAAATTTATTAAAACACTTCAGGATATGATGCACATCATGTAAGAGTTACTTCCCTTATATTGTTTTAATCATATAAATGAATTTTAAATTACTGTACACTTCATTCTTGAAATTAGGTTTTAAATCCAAATGAAACAATATTTAAGAAATAATTCATGGCAGCCGTAGATTTGTTTTCATTTAACCATGGGTTGGGCATTTATATTCGATTATTTTACCCTGAGCGTTGGGTAAAATAATCGAATATAAATGCCAAACCCATGGTTAAATGAAAACAAATCTACGGCTGCCATGAATTATTTCGATTCTAATAGGACAAATTCGGTAATTTTGTTAACCGTGAAAGCCCTTTACATACGATACTGTTTTGGCTTTCCGTTTTACCTGATTTTGATAATATTAGTAATATTATATAATTCAATGATTATTTTTTTTAATCGCATTTTTCACTTATAAATTTTCTTCCAATGTAATTTTATTCGTTCTGAGGCGTACAAGAAGCTTTAAAACGCCCGGTATTTACATTTGATTTTTTGTTTACGGAAACATATTTGTGACGTCACCTTGTTTCGTTGCCATGTCAAGACAATAACATCATTTCGCGGAATTTTCGTTTTATGAAATTTTACCGTGAAAAATAAATTGAAATGGACTGATTTGTTTATTTTGCTGTAGAATAGAGACAAATATATTGTATCTGAAGCTTGGCCTTCGTAAACTGGGGATTTTGATGTCGAAAATTGAGAATATCTGGCAGTATAAATAAGTTGGTCGTAACGCGGAACAGCCGTTTATGTGTATTACTGCATTTGCGCTAAAGGTAGATATATTGTGATTATACTGGTTGACGATAATAGTTCGTCATATAAGAATGACATTTATACAGCATAGATAATAGAATAAAATCTTTAAACTATTAAAAGTATACCATTTGGCCTAAAGTCTGTGTAGGATTACTTGACCCATATCCTATAAATTTAAGTCCAGTCCTAATTTATTCCATTGGGAACTTTCATGTCTGAGTCACAGTCTGACTGTTAAATGCAGAATATTTTCAGTCTGTTTCCTTATGAAAACAGTTTGAATACCATGTTTATTATGTTTTGTTTCATATTTGGTGGATTGAAATCATAGCACATTGTAAATAATCCACTTTTGTAATTACCCTAAACAGACACTTTTGGAATACTTACCCTTTATATATTGTAGTCCTATTGTTTTCTATTAACAAAAATAATTTTGCTTTCAACATCACTCCATTAAAATGTGTTGTTGCAATCACATAGACATTCCATTTGATTACTGTTTTCTAGTTGCATGTATGTCATACATGTATACGTATTTTTGTTTATATATAAAAGACTTATTTTTTAGTCCTCTGTTTTGAATTTTTTATCCATAGTGAACATCTTTCTCCATCCTGTAAATATAAAGCAAATGTACATTCAATTACTAAATGTATAAAACTAAATAATTCATTAACACATGAATACAAATTTGCCAAATAAATTACTAAGAAAATACATGTACATGTATTTATTAAGTATTTATACATGTATAAATAATTATGCCCCCCCCCCCCCCCCCTTCCAGCATTTTTGCTCAATACATAACAGTTACAGGCAAAGGAAACATTTCAAAGTCTTGAAAATAATTTTTAGGTTTAACATGGAGCAAATTAATTTGTTATACCAAACCTTTTGATAACATTTTTATATTTATTAATAATATTGTACATAAATCCAGTGTACAATGCATGCTGAAATTTTATACATTTTTGGGGTCACTCACAACCTTTTTTTTTAAATCTTGGAACCACCACTGTCAATGACTGTCAAGACTGTATTGACACTAAATTGTCCACTTGGATTTGATAATATTAATGAAGTTTGAGGAAGTAATATTGTCAATGGATTATCATTTCTGATTAGATTGTATATATAATTATTGGAAGAATATAACATTTCAGAATAAAATAAATTGCACAGGCATTAATTTATTAGTTTCTGGGGATACATGTAAAGCATGTGTAAGGTTTCAAATGGGTGGGTGATTGGTTAATTCAACGTGTATTTTTTTTTTATAATTTCAGAGATATGACTTTAGATGATGGCTATCTAATTTAGTTTTTTTAAGGGAAAGAGGGGGGGGGGGGGGGGGTCTTATGGAAATAAACATGATGAATATTCTGATCTGGTATATACCCATCATCATGATCATGGTAATAACTGAATATAAACTAATTATTACTCAAGATTGCTGACAATATGAAAATGAATATTCTGTCCAATAAAATGCAGGAAATAATTGTGTACAGATTGAAAATAAATTAATAGTCACACTAGTAAAATAAGAAAATGAATATTAGGGGTCATATGTCCCCTTAAACATGTTAAATTACTGCTACCCACCCACATAATGTTTTTTGTATGAGTATGGATAGTGAACCCCCCATTAACAGAAACAAGTGCATGTGATCGCTTTCCCTTTGTATTTTATGTTCATGGAAGTTTTTATAAATATTAAATTTTGATGTATATGAACATGATGAAATGGAACGAATATATTTATATTAGACCAGGTATAAAGTAGCCAAGAGTTAAAATGAATGTGTCTCACATGCTAATGATCTGGTACATGGACTTTTGAGTTGAACCTGAGACGTTCGGAAAATTTCATGTAGTATATTTGGGGGGGAAAATACCCCCTTTTTTAGAGAACTTACACTTACAGTCGGCATGTAACGTGATCATCCGTGCATTCCAATTTGATTCATTTTGGTCCGTATTTGCCGTTAGAGGTTTACAATGTTCTATTATCTGAGCACGAAGTGATGGCGTAAACATTTTCCAGGAAGATTGTGAAATACACTTTCGACATTAGTTTGAAAACGGATGTTGACAACTTGTGTGGGTATAATATTTCCGGAGACAAGGGCGTATACCCAAGACAGAAATCCGAATGTAATTCACCAGTGGTTGGTGTAAATTGTAAATTCAATATATGAATAGGAAATGTCAAATGATGAAAAATAGGATTTATATTTTACATTTTTCATATCATTTTACACTTTATTTTTGCCGTTTAAATCATTTCTTGAAATCACTAATTTGAAAATGAATAACTGAATATCTAAAATAAGCCTTTACCTTTTATTTTGTGTGGCGTAAAGTTTAAGCATCCAAGAATGTCATAAATGCAACTTCACAGCGTGTAATGCCAAATCCAACGTCAAACAATGGCCGCCATTACGTGTTGACAACGTCGTCTAGTGAACCGTATCACTGAGCACCGAAATCCTTACTCAGACGCTTCCGGTTGTACTACTGTAAGTGTTCTGTATAGCTTAAGACTACGTCACATAGTAACGTTCGTTATGATGGCGTTGTTGAGGTTCCAATTGGGATAAAAAAAAACGTCGTATATACCCTGGCAGTTTCCTGAATATATACTGACATCTCTGTGTTGTTATCCAATCATAAAACTCGACACATTTGTAATCCGTAATATAAAATGCTGTGACCGATGCATATAATGTTGTGACCATAAGATCTCTTGGGACTGTATAGGTTTAGGGTTGATAGGGATGTGAAATGTAAATAGACACCTTATGTATCCTATATAACACATATAGAGTGGGGTGCTCATTTTCGCCATAATTTGCCAAATTTTCTGCAGTTTATGTTCAGGTCTTTATGTTTTTGAAGTATACTGATATTTCTATATGAAGATAACATCAAAAGCAAATTATTCTTAGCTTGAAAACGTGTTTCATTGAAAAAAAATCATCTGAAAAGTTAGATTAAAGGCTATTTGAAATTTCCTGGTGTTTTGTCAAAGGGGGACACATATTCGCCGTTTTACACATCTATTTAAAACCTAATAACTGCAGCTTTAAACAATATTTATCAAATCAATTTCATTATAGATAAATAGCAGACATTTCAAAGGTGTAAAAGAACTGAAATTTAGAGCAATCAGTCAAAGAATTGTTAAGAAATACTTCTTTAAAATCGTGTTTTTCATTCAGGAAATTGGCCGAAAATCGTTGTCCGTTTTTCGGTCCCTTGCGGTAAGTGCCGACATTTTGTCTAAGTTTAAAAAATAATCATATTTGTTATTAAAAATATAATTTACCGGCATATTTCTTCCATTTCCGCCATCCTTTGAAGTTTTTACACCTCAAAAGTCAAAATCTTAAAACGGCGAAATTGTGTCCCCGGCGAATATGTGCGCCCCACTCTATGTTGTTATCCTTACTCACAGTTTTGTCTCTCAAAATTTGTTTATATTATCAAAGATGTTGACCATGCAATTGTGTTCTGAAATTCTACTATTTTTGACGTTATTTTCATTCCGGGGAACGAGTAATGAAGTTACAATTAGTCATTTAGATTTTTGAACCGGCGAATTGCATACATGTACCTGCACATATCTGGTAATATCTCATCCACAACAAAACTTGAATATGCATTAATAATATCAAATGGTGATTGTGTACCATTCACAGGATCACTGAGTTCAGTCCTCTGAATGTATATGTAACTTGATGGCAAAGGTCGAATGTGACATCCGAAAGGTCTCTCAAAATTGAATCTACACGTTTGAGTTCCAGGAGGAAGACTTGCGTGCCCTACAATAAAAGCAATGCTAAATAAGTATAGTCTAACCGGAAATAGACATAAAATTGCTTACTAAAGCCAAATTTATAAATGTAGGATCTATGGTGTATTCCAAATCTATGGCAAATGTGACGTCTTAAACGCCATACTTATCATAAATCTATGGCAGTTTTTTTTCTCTCCAAATCTATGGCAGTTTATTTTTGTTTTCTCCAAATCTATGGCAGTTTTTTTGTTTTCTCCAAATCTATGGTAGTTTTTTTGTTTTCTCCAAATCTATGAAAGATTTTGAAATTGCGTTATTTCTGGGAAAAAGCGTAAACTATAACATCACAATTTAATAACAATAAACATCATGTTGTTTTGGAGGGACTTTGCAAAGGTACTGTCCCATTTGCAAATTAAAAGAGGAAAATCCTAAATGGGGTTACTAAAAAATTATAAAGTATTTGAATGAATAGTTAAATGATAGAATCGGATATGAACTTGAATAATAAAGTTGAAGAATAATATATAGCCTTCCAAGTGGGTTTATATGAACATCTAGATTGTTTTCAGCATGTTTTATAGGCCATTTTTCTGTTTGACAGTCCGTATTTTCACATCCGTACCGCCCATAGGTCCAGAAATTATTGTAATGTTTTTCAACAAAGATATGCCCCTCGATCTTTTTAATTGAGTCAATTTTATGGAAAAACGAGCAGAAATGCATATGACTTTTTTGGACCTCTTGATTTCGTTTTTGATATAATTTGTTTTACCAATTTCATTTTATATCCTTCAATTAATAGTTTTTCAATAAACAGTTTTTTTCTGGTTTGAAATTCACTTTCAAAAATAATACACAAATAATTAATACACGATGGTCTTGAATTATAGATTCTAGATCACCTTATTCAGAACACGAGCCCTAAGATAATTATTGATGAAACCAATCAGCGATGAATGTTTTCGAAATTAAATAAATATTCAGCAAATATGCAGTTACTTTTTAAAGTCATATTTTCAAAGAATTGGCGATGATGCATTCAGGGCATGACTATGAGTATGTAAAGAAGATTTTTATGCTATGGATAGTCAGGTGCATAATTAAAGTGTTGTATTCCCCAGGCCAGTGTGGGCCACATATGCAAAATTGGCAGAACTGGTTTTACACATGGTTGAAGATCCGGAAAATATCCACCTGCCCCTTTCCCCAAACCGGAATATCAAATGGTCGTCCCTTGCTAATTTGAAAGATTAAAGATGGGTTGAACATTTTTTTATAAATATAAAATAATGAACAAAATTATAACGCATCAAAGAATGTCTGCATACATTTTACTGTAAGTCTCTTCAATTTTAGTCTTTATTCACTTATATGGATCTGTACTACCAAGAAGATTTCATATGGCAACATTATAAAGTAAAACTATTATTTTTTAAATAAAATGCTGAAAGGAGGTATACGAACTTGTGCAGTATGCATGATAAAACTTTGTAATACTGTGACGTGATTTATGGTTAGGGATTTATGCAAAAACATAAGCAATAATGAATTAAATGATTTGTTTTTTTTTTGGAAAGGGGGGGGGGGGGGGGGGTATTTAAACCCCAGCCGGACAACTATACCCAAATTGTGAATTTTCTTACCTTTGTTTCAGTTGATGATACAAAGGCCTTGTGTTGCACACATTTTCCTAGTCCAAATAATTATGAAGTCTTGAAAAGGCTATTATATTTTTTGTTTGACGCCTTACATCGACTGGACTAACATTTTCCCATTCCTAGCATGTCAAAACACACTTAGGATCACTTAGACTTAGAGTTTAATCAAGTGTGTGTACTTTAATCTTTATACGATTCAGATATCAAAAATTATCATTACACATGCTGACATCGATGTGTCTGCTGTGAAAAATTACAATGTTATAAAATGTCTTTCCTTCGGAATTTAGTTCAAACAGAGTTTAATAAAAGATCTTAACAACCATTAACAGTGTCACAAAAGCAAAAAAACACGCGATCGTTTCGGTAAAAAAAATGTGGGAATGTGGGTGTAGGGATTAAAAAAGTGGGGATGTGGGAACAGAAAGGGAAAAGGAAGTGGGAAAATTACAAAAAAAAGTTGAAATTGGGAGATAAGCACCCCTGAGTCACCCCTCCTCTAGGGACCGGTCAATATTTATTGGGGGGTTGGGACCGGTGCAAAACGCAGTAGGAAACACATTTTTTTTAACTTAATTTTTTATAGGACTTCTACTTTTTTAGTTTTCAGCACTGATAGGACAGCAATATTTTTATGGCATATGTATGAATGTAGAAAATAGTCTATAAAAATCTAATTACAACAAAATAAACAAGATTAATTGAGGTACAAACAAGTAACATATGGTGTAAATCAGCCCATCTAACTAAATTAAATATAGATCTATCAAAATTCCAGTTTTTTTGGTAGTTTGGTTCATTGCTGTGAAATTAAAGAATTAAATTAATAGGTAAAAAAATGTTGATGAAATTCAGAGTCATCTTTAATATTTTTATAACCTTTTCAAATCAACTTGGATTTTCATCAAACTATACAGCTATCTCAGTTTTATATACTGATCTTACTGAATCCCAGGTCGTTATGTAGTTTGGTGTATTGCTGTCAAATTTAAGGATTAAATTAATCTAGGTAAAAAAAGATATGATAGAATTTGCATTTTGTACTAAATTCAGATAGTACACCTAATGTTTTTTATAACTTTTTCAAATCAACTTGGATTTTCATCAAACTATACAGCTATCTCAGTTATATACTGATCTTACTGAATCCCAGGTCGTTATGTAGTTTGGGGTATTGCTGTCAAATTTAAGGAATAAATTAATCTAGGTAAAAAAAATCTAGAATTTGCAGTTTGGACTCAATTCAGATAGTACACTTTAATTTTTTTATAACTTTTTCAAATCAACTTGGATTTTCATCAAACTATACAGCTTTTTAAGTTATATATTTATCTTACTGAATCCCAGGTTGTTATGTAGTTTGGTGTATTGGTGTCAAATTTAAGGATTAAATTAATCTAGTTCAAAAAAGCTAGAATTTGCAGTTCAGACTAAATTCAATCTAATTAAAATATAGATCTCGGATTTCGTTATACTACGTTATACTACATACGAAGATCTAACAACTACCCGTATAAGGTTTCACTTCTGAAGGATTTTGCATGTGACTTTTTCAACCAATCAGAATTCTAGTTATCCAATCTGAACAGCGCACGCGGAACATATTTACTTGAATGAGGTTCATTGAAAGGTCCCGAGGGTATCCAAAAATAAAAAAAATGGGACTGAAAATTTATCGCTTCGATTGTTAATCGTTTGGAAATAGTTTTTAAATCTCTTTCGGCGTCATATTGTAACTATAGCCATGAATATTTGAAATATGTGACGTTTGTCAATGTTTTCAGATGTGCCTCATATGCTTTATGACTTGAGGTCGGTTCGTAATCGTGGAAATTAAAGAGTACAGTAAACACTGTTAAACTGTACACTATAGCACTGCCAGTGGCGGATCCCGGGGGGGGGGGCTTCCGGGGGTTGGAACCCCCCTTTTTTGACGATCAATGCATTTGAATGGGGACATATAGTTGGAACCCCCCCTCTTTATCCTGGGTTAGGAACCCCTCCCCCTTTTATAAATGGCTGGATCCGCCCCTGACTGCTTCCCTCTGCCAGACGTGGATCAAGGATTTTGATAAGGGGGTGCAAACTATGCATAGTTTGAATGGGACATGTAAAAAGTCTAAGCATTGATAAACCATACATATATATGTTTAGCGCCACAAGCACCCCCCTCGGCTTGCATACAAGAAAAAAAAACTGTCCTCTATTAGCTGCTCTGGTGAAGTTTTTTTTAGCTCAGTTGGTCGAGTCTACTAGAGAGGTGCCTTACTGTACGAATTTTTGTGAACTGTCAGGGTGGGTGGGCTCTTTTATTTTGTATCTAGTAAGAAAAAAATCTTAGGTAGTAGGCTATATATTTAAATACATGTGTATTTCCTATACAATTCCCATGCTGTAGCAGATACATATATACAAAAAACCAATCCTAGTCTATCATTGACATAATAATTGATAAATAAAATTCGAACTTGATCTGTAACTTGTCATGATAAAACAATACACCAAAAACCAAATCAATATCTTCAAGCACGAAGAAAAAAAGTGTGGAAAACTGATTTGCCAGACTGACGGATGGACAGACAGACAGACGGACGGAGTGCAAACCTAAAGTCCCCTTCGACTTTGACGGTAGGGGACTAATAACCAGGCATTTTGTAATATCAAAAAAGATTAAGATAGCTGCGAATTTAGCTCGAACTGAAAATTCTTGCTTTTTTACCTTTTAAATAAATCCTTACATTTACAGTTACCAATAAACCTGCCTTCCAAATAACCTTGCATTTTGTAAGATCAATATATGATTGATAGAGTTTTATTAAAATCCAAGTTAATTTGAAAAAAAGTTATATAGGGAGCTACCATTTGATTTTTAGGGGGGGGGCTAGGATGAAATTTGAAAAAAATAGGCAGGACAGGAGTTTTGAGTAAAAAAAAGGCAGGATGAGACACTTGCAAAAAAAAAGTCAAGCCACACTTAAAAATATTTTGGTTTGACCAAACCCTACCCAAAGGTAGAGACAGTGGGTAGGTAGGTAGGCATTTTCTTTTTTTTCTCTAAAGAGTAATTGAAGCGTCCGATGATTTTTAGTCTTCATGCCTATCTGATTAAAAAAAAAACTTTTTCACATCAGGACAATAAAAGATTTTGAGTAGGCAGCTATTATATGGGTAGATAGGGTTAGGGCAAACAAACATATTCTTTTTTATGGCCTCAGGATGACAATTTAGGTAAAAAAAAAATCAGGATAAACTTAAAAAAAAGGCAGGACCAAATAGAGTGAAAAATAAAAAGGCAGGACAGATATTACAACTAAAAAACCCCCCCCCCATAAAAATCAAATGGTAGCTCCCTTAGTCCAAAATG